CTCTCTCTCTCTCTCTCTCCCTCTCTCTCTCTCTCCTCTCTCTTCTCTCTTCTTTCTTTCTCCAATAGTGCTGGGTATTAAACCCAGGGCCTTTGCACCGAGCCAAATCTCTAGCCCTTTTTCATTTTTCACTATTTTTGAGACAGGGTTTCACGATGTAGTTCAGGCTGGTCCTTGGCTACTCATTGTGTAGCCAAGGCTGTTCTCAAACTCACAGTGATCCTCTTGCCTCAACCTCCCGAATGCTGGGATAACAGGTGTCTGTCACCATTTTTATCTTTTTTTAATTTTGAGAGGTGGTCTTGCTAAGTTGAGCAGGATGGGTTCGAACTTGCAATGCTCCTGGCTCCGCCTCTCAGAGTGCTGGATTACAGGTGGGTTTACTGTTATAGTTGTGTTTACACATACCCCCGCAAAGCCTCGTGTGATCACGAGTGGGGCTTTTTCAGAGGTGGCTGGATCTGGAGTATGTGATGCTGGGATTGACTCATGGTGCAGTGCTAGGCTAAAGGGCATTAGGGTTAAAGTGTGAGCGCTACCTACCCTAAGTAGCCTGGATAAAATATAAGAGATAGAAAAAGCTGTGCCCCTCCCTTGTTGCTTTGTTACCTTTTGCCCATCATGAGTAGTTTCTCCTATACAAATCCTGTCTGCTGTGCCACCTTGCCTTGGAGCCAGCTGATTATGGACTGAAATCTCTACAAACTGTGAGCTAAATAAACTTAACTTTGGGTGTCAAGTATTTTGTCTTAGTAATGAAAGTAAATAAGACACAATTTGGTACTGAGAGGAGTGGGGTTGTTGCTTGACTATACCTGATCATGTAGTTTAAGAGCCCTCAGAACTGGCTTGTGGGAAGAGTTTGGAAAGGTTTGGAGACACCATCTGAAAAAGCAGAACTGGAATGCCATAGGCTGTACATACGGGTCAGAGCTCAGAAGACCAGAAAAGACTGGGTTCGGGAGGTTTCTGCTGGGAAGAAGGACTGCATTGGCTGCTGGACTCCAGATGGTGTGTGTTATGGCTTGGCAGAAAGTTTGTCTGCATTTCGCTCGTGTCCAGAGACTGAGATGAAGAGCAGCAGACTAATTAATCTTACAGAAGAAATTTCAAGACCGTCTAATGTTGGGGTACTGGCATGACGACTGTTGGCGGGGTTTAGCCAGGTCTGTGTTGAGAATGAAGAACAAAGAGCCCAGAAGAATGATTTAAAATGTTGTGAGTTTGGCCAGAAAGGAAGCTCACTCCAGAAAAGCTGTGGACTGCAAAGACAGAGCAGAGGAGATCTTGGTTGCTGAGAAGGAACTGGAGAATAGAAAAGATGACCTGAGGGCATCACAAGATGTAGCAGGTCTTCAGCCTTTGCAGCCTCAGAGTAGCAAAGGTGAAAGACTTTGAGAGAGAGCCCCAGAGCACCATGTTCCAGAATGGCTGAAGCTTAGGGAAGTTGTTCCTCAGATTTGGTTCATAGGCAGTAGACCCTTAGAGCTGAGAGAGAAGGAAGCCTGGCTACTGCTCCAGCTGGTGACAGACCTTGACATTATCCATGTGGTGCTGCTTTTAGGCGCATGCAGAATGCAAGAGTTGTGGGGTCAGGAAGGCTTCCACCCAGATTTCAGTAGAAGGCCCTTGAGGCCAGGCAGGGTGACCCTGAGAGGGCAGTGTGTGAAGCTGTGAATGTGAAGCCAAGGTGCACTGGAGACCCCAGAAGTGGAGAAGCCAGGAAGGTGGGCTGTCTGAGGAAAACTACAAAGAGGGAGCAGAGCCCACCCAAGAGAGATGCTGAGGGAGCTATAATCACTGTCGGTGTAATAGGGGTGGAGCTACTCAAACCCTTTGGAGTTCACAATTTGTCACAGATTGCCAGAGATGCTGGATCTGGAACTATTGGACTTAATGTTTGCCCTGTTGGATTTTGGTCTTGCTTTGGTCCCATCCCTTTGTATCCCCCTATTTGTACCTTTTGGAATGGTAGTGTCTATCACCTGCCATTGAATGTTGGAAGTGTTTAACTTTCATTTGTCCAGAGGCTCGCAGCTAAATCTCAGAAGAGACTTTGGACTTTTCAGCAATGCTGAAACTGTTAGGACTTTGGCTACTCTTGGAAATGGACTAAATGCCTTTTATATAAAGGGATGTGCATGTCTTTGCGGGGGCAGGGGTGGAATGTTATGGCTTGTGTCTGATGTTCCCCCCAAATCTCATGTGGTCATAGCGGGGCTTTTCCGAGTGGCTGGATCTCAAGTGTGTGATGCTGGGACTGATTCATGGTGCAGTGCTAGGATCGAGGGCACTGGGATTAAGGGTCTGAGTGATGCCCACCCTAAGTCTGGATAAGATATAAGGGACAGAAAGAGCTGAGGTCTTCCCTTTTTGC